CCAGCCTGGCATCCAGCGGAAGAGTCAGGCGGAGCCGAGCGGAGCTTTAAGACGTTTGGCAGAGGCTGCGGGAATCTATGCCCAGAGACTGAGGAATTCTGCAGCTTTGCAGCTACTTAGCAAAACTATGGCAGGATTTTAGAAATCGTACCCAGAATGCTAACTGAGATTGTAATTAGACAAACAGGAAGCCAGGACGTGCTCTGTTTTTATTTTCCTGGCCCTGGCTAAACCCTTTGGCAGATTTTTCCACATGAATATGAAAAATGGAAGACTAGCAATATTAATGGTATGGGAAAGTGAAAAGTTACATTGTAAAACAAAATGTTGCCTCCTCCACCGTATTTAGAGGGGAACATTTCATTTAAATAGTCCTCATTGATAATTTTATCTTGTGGCAAATGGGAAAATGCAGCATTTCTAATTTCATATTACTAAGTAGTTTAGAAAATTTTTCAGTCTCTTATCCCCCACACTTACCTCTAACTTTGTATTCTATGGGTGATCTTGATAAAATCACATATCAATTTAGGAAAAATAAAAAGAGCTCTACAGTTGTATTGTGTGATGGCTCCATGAGCTTTTTAAGTGAGAACTGGTTTTAAATCCCAGATGCAAACTTTCTAGCTGTATAAGCTTCGGCAAATTATTTTAGTACTCTCAGACCGAGTTTGGTGCCGTAATTTCTACTTTTGGGGGTTTTAATAGTGGTCAAAGTATTTTATATCAACAACGTGGCACATAGATGTTCCCTAAAGTGTTAATTTCTCACTGCGAAATAGGCTTCTGTAGAAGACTGCACTTAAAATTAACTAAAACCATAGTGAATTGCATACATTCACTGAAAGTTAACAGAGAGAATTAGACTGCTCATCTGCATGCACTGTTATAATCTCAGATCAGATCAGGAAACTGGATTGTTTTTTATTTATATGAGCCTTTTCCTGTTGAGTCCTATATAAGAATAAGGCAGATCCAGGAGGCAAAGCTTATATAATTTGGGGGAGTTTCATGAGAAAAAAAATATGAAATTAAGTGCAGGGCATAGAAAGAGGCCTGTACAAGGCTGGGGCCCTGAAGCTTAAGTCTCATCAGTTTCATGATAAATCTGGCTGTGATCAAGGTGAGGAAGGATCTAGACAAAAGGACTGAATGTGGGATATATCTACAGTTAAGGCTCTGGCTCCAGATTAAAGGTTATAATTGATAAAACAGTCGTATTTTCTAGAATAAAGGATATCATCCTATAAAAAGAAATGCTTTCTGAAGTGTTGTAGATAAGAAATATAGACAGATCTGTAAATGATAAAGAATACACATCTGGGAGAGAATATTGGCAATTTATAAAGGAGGAGAAAGATACCCTCAAGTGTGTTATCCTTAGGCTGATAAACAAAATGTACCCAAGATAAAAAAAAAAAAGAAAAAACAATTTGGTTGTCTTCCATCAGTGCTATATTATGTGCCCATACTCATAATGAATGGGGGGAAAGTGATGTGTCTAAATATTAGTTTGTGATCTATCAAATTGTAATAAATGACCAGGGATAATATGAGCTGTACCTCATCTAGGCTCTGGTACCATCATCATATCCACCCTTTTATAAGAAACCACAGGCTACATGGAAAGTCCATTGGAAAAGTAACTGGTAAAAAGTCCACCACAACATCAATACGAATAATTAGCATTAAAAGTGACTTGGGCATGTCAAAGACGTGTCTTTTGCATATATAAAACAGTAAATCTGTGCAATGTTAGTTAAGGAAGGTAAATTCAGGAATCGAAAATCCAAATAAGGTCAACAGTATAAACTTTAGTTCAGAGATGGTCCTTATCACAAAGAGAACAGTTAGACAAATAAAGGCAAAAAAGAGTGTCATAGCATCATCATACTACAGAGGATATTAAATCCAAGCATTGTTTTCATTCCAGACATGGTATACAGTGTGTATGTTAACTTTAAATTTTTAGTTAACCAGGACACATACCTATCAACTCTTATTGAATTATAAATTATATATATTTCGATTTTCCTTTGATATGAAGGTTTAGACCAACTTGCTAGAACATCCTTTTGAAACAACTAGGTTTCTAAGCAGTGCCTGACAGTTGTCGAATCACAGTTAACTGGCTCACCAGGGCACATCCCATCTACAGAGAAAAATATTTCAGACTGCTCTGATACCTTGTCGGAAAAAGCTTTTGGTGTAGGCCACAATGTCACATTTTGCTGTAAGGTCTTCTTTCAATGTTTTTAAAAGCCTGTTTCACGATGGACTCCACACCCTCCTTAGTCAGCTGCTTTTCAAGAAACTTGCTGGTTGTTAGCACAGTGATTCTGGGTTCTGACATGGCTTAAGCTCATCACAGATGAATCCCGTGATGAATAGTCCGCACCAGAGTAAAGGCCCGCAGTGTAGCAGACGTGTGGGTGAGGGCAGGGGGCAGGTACTGCGCACAGACCTACGAGTGTTTCCCTCCCCCTGCCCCCTCCTCCCGGCCCCCCTCACTCTCCCTCTTTGCCTGGCTTTCTCTGTCACACACGCACACGCTCTCACACACGCTCTCACACACGCTCACACACACACAAGCACACACACACGCTCTCACACACGCTCTCACACACACACGCACACACACGCCCTCACACACACACGCACACACACACGCACACACACACTCTCACACACGCTCTCACACACACACGCTCACACACACACGCACACACACACACGCTCTCACACACGCTCTCACACACTCACACACGCACACACACACGCCCTCACACACACACACACACACGCACACACACACGCTCTCACACACGCTCTCACACACGCTCACACACACACACACACACAC